AGAAGACGGGTAGAGGCATATAAATAGGGCTTACTGAGCTGCTTGTAACAATGGTATTATACTACATCCTAAACGTTCAACCTCAAGCTATGTAAGATGGGGTCATCATACAGGAAGATGGATGAGTGTTTGGTTTGGAGAGGACGGCGATAGAAAGTATCCAACAGCCAGATATTTTCTGCGCATGAGTAGTATTCCACACACGAAATTGAATTCTTTCTCCGATCGAGCAGTTTGACAACTGAGCTTTCGAACAACTCAGCGACTCATGTTCTCATATCCAAACATACCCTCCTGCATATCACAAAACAACATTGAAAGCGAAGGGAGTACTGTAAATCAAACCGATATCGAAAGCAAAGAGCAATGCAAATAAAACTAGATAGGTGAAATAAATGTGAGATGGCAAGGAATGAACAAAGCAGGAGAAACGACTAACACGAGGTATCAATATAACGAGGTATCTCGTTCCGCACGTATGACCTTCCACACCATGAACCCAATGAGAAAGAAAAACGGACGAACACTACCAGAACCTATTGCTATCTGCAGGGACATCCCTTGCTTGCCGAAGCATGATGACATTAGACGTTAAACTTGACCACTAAAGAGACGAATAGACATTAATGAGTACAAATACTGGAAGTCAAAGAGAGAAGTACGTACCCCATTCCCAATGAGAACTTGCGCTCTCTGTCCGATTAACATATCAACAGCTTGGTTAATATAAGTCTGTTCCCAATTCAACTTAACATCCCAAGTACTGGTGATACCGTCCCACTTATACGCTTTCATAAAAGCCTCCTTCAACTGCCCAACCCACTCATTATCACCATTGGTCATGATGAATATCCTTTTTAACCCTTGTCCAGCAGCTGATGCCCTCACAATTTCAACCTTTTCGACAATTTGTTCGATTGTAGGGTAACATGCTTTAGCATATGCCAACCGACATTCACTAGTCGTATTTCCTCCTCCACATCCTGAAGGTGTACGCCATTGATCTGGGAACTCAGGGAATAAATTGAATCCGTTCCAATTTGAACCCCAATCAGAGAGTGAGTTACAGTGTCCTTCGTAGTCTCCTCTGCGAATGTGAAGTGCGAGTAAGCCAGGGACTGTAGTGTATGGATAGGATATTTTGTCACGCCACGAGGAAGAGAAAAGCTTGATATTGGTGTCGAAAGCGTTTTCCACAAGTGGTGACCATCGGAATTGTTGGATTATGGGTGATACTTTATATTCAGGCCATACGGGAAGTAACCGTTTGGCTTCGCCGAATATCCTATAGAATGCATGAACGATGACTACGCGTGGATTTTAAAACGCGAGGGTAGAACATACCAGAAACTGAATAATTGAACTGCTCCTCTCTGTATTTCAATGCACTGATCAGGCATAGCGTTAATGACATCCACCCATGCTTCTACGAGCTTGTCGGCCGGAATGTCGGATGGTAACTTGCTGTCAACCTCACGAGGGTCAATCACAGTAGGATTAGGGCATATCTGTCGATAGTAATCCACAAGCACTGTACGAGGTGTTTTATCCCCAACTTTCCATGGTCCACCGACCAAGGGACCTGGATACAATATCAGTCAATACATGACATTTAAGTCATTTGGTCACTGATACACAGATGAATCAAAACTTACCTGCGAGGATGGCAGAGAGGGGAACGCGTGAAGGGACTTTAATCCCATCATGATATGCATAGTCCTGGCCGTATCTATCCCATGTGTAATTATCGAACACATTACTGCATTATAGAAGAAACGGTTAGATTGTCCAAGACAAACATATAACGATGAATCTCACATTCTACCAGTTTTGTATGTGATATAAGAATCCAACATATATTCCTGCATATAGTTCCCCCAACCTAAACCTGCACGGGGATATCAAATATGGTTGGTATACGTGTTAACATTCCATAGTAGACGGAATGAAATGAAATGAAGAAACACATACCATCAACATGATTCGCAATCCATAAATACTTTCCATCCTTTCCTTCAGGTATAGGCAAATTTGGGTTGTGTTGAGGTAAAGCCAACTCCTTCACATGATATTCCGAATAAAGTGGTGGAAATTCAGGATCATGAGGGCCATCATCAACTTCCCAGTATCCCCGTCGGTGAGCAACCCAAGAACCAAGTAATAGAAGCACAAGAACACCAAAGCCTAACTTCCAAAACCGAGCGAGGAAGAAACGTATCGAGGTTCCAACTCGATTGCTGGGGGCGTTTGGGATATTTTGGTCAGAGGTATGAAGGGGTATATAGTCCTTTGTAGAATGCCGAAAGCCGCTGAGATAGTTGCCCATTGAAATAAAACGACAGATTGGAATTAAATTATGGAGGAAGCGTAAAAATGGAGACCAGGAATGTTGAGAATGCACCGAGGGAGAAAGATACCCGTAGGCATCATTGCTTTTCGGGGAGGCAGTTCAGTACGGTATCCAGCGTCTCACTGTCTCCGACCTGAATGTGTTCTTGACGGCGTTCAACGCTGAAGATGGTCATAGTCCAGTGACCGGTTATCCATCGCCCAACATTCATGACGGTAATGGGGAAAGGTGCTGAGCAGATAATTTGGGAGAGCGAGAAGGAGATTTAAAAATCGGTATGTACCGTTGTGAAACTCAGATCGTTAAAGATAACTTGCCCACGCCGCCGAAATGCAAGGTTATAGCCTCGATCTTTCCTTCTGCACTGCTGCATGTTAGAAGCCTTGGTAATTGTTTACAACTGAATACAAGCGCGATTTGGCCGACAGTCGCAAGGACCCTGCTACATGTCTGCTGCTATAAGTTCAGGATATTGTTAAGCGCTCAATGAGCAGCTCTCCTGATGATGATAGCCTCTTCCTTCTCGACCACTGCATACACAGCGGGATTCAAACCTGGTTTATGTTCATCGCCCTCTCTCCTTGCTCATCATAATTTTTGGCCATTTGTCTTATTTTCCTTCACCACTACACCCAATTGCAACTCAATCTAATCTAATCTAAATTGAATCTAACCGGTATCGTCAGTAACATGTGGAAGTTACTTATCTCTTCTATTACCTCGCCATATCCTCATTTTCAGAATCTCGCCGAGGTCTATTCAACTTAGCCTATTCATTCCAACCCATGTAACAATCTCCCGTTAAGATAGAACAATCCAGCTTTCTTCAGTTATCTATCTCTCGCGCAACAGACAGCGTCACAGGATCATCGGAACTCAGCATGCGGATCCACCTGTGTCATCCTGCTTCAGCATATAAGGGGTACACCCCAATATCATATTTCCTTTCGTCTTTTGACTACTCCGATACCGATTGCGCTCGCTTGGTCTGAATCACTGCTATACCGTTACAAATCGTCTTACTATCATGGCCATCGAAGTCGTTCCTTTGCCTCTTCCTCCTTCTGCTGATGCCTCCAAGTTTGCTGACTTTGGACGAGAGGTGAAGGGAGTTAAACCAGGAGAGCTTACATCAGAAGAGTTGGAAGAAATCAAAGAGTTGCTGTACAAGGTGTGTTCTTATCATCTAAGATGCAAGCTTCTGTGCTGAATGACCTTGCAGCACGACGCTTTGCTCTTCCGAGACGTCGACTTCACTCCGGAACAACAATATGCTCTGACAAAGGTACTCTCCGCTGTAATACACTTTCCAATGTCGCATCTCTTCTTACTTATTTGAGCGATCAGGCATTCGACCCATCTTCTGAGAATTATGGTCATGGCAACAACAAGACTGGAGAAACTAAGAAGTCGATCCTCCATCCTGACCTCAAGACTATTCCAAGGGTTCCCCAAGTGCAACTTATTGGTAATGGGACTGTCTACAACCACGAAGGTTTAGCAGAAGCGAAGCTCAAACACCCTCACCATAAGACTTTCCACAAGACTGCCATCTCAGATGAAGACGAAGAGAAGGGCGCGACAAGATTCTACAGATGGCATATAGATGCTGCTTTGTATGACCTCAATCCTCCGAAAGTCACCACGCTTTATGGATTGAACGTTCCTCAAGGCACCAAGCAAGTCTGTCGGTACGACGATGGTACTGGAGACGAGCTTGCTGTTCCTCTCGGTACTACTGCTTTCGTATCTGGAAAAACGACGTTCGATATTCTGCCTCCGGAGTTGAAGAGTTTGGCGGTCAGATCGAAAGTGAAGTATGCGCCACATCCTTACGTGTGGATGGCTCCTGCACACGCCAAGTCCACCGGTCTTGGGATCGAGACAGAGGGACTGGAAGAGGCCTTGAGTGAGCTTCCTCCATGGGAAGAATCAAGGCTCAAAGTGCTCCCTATCGTAAGTTCTCATGTCCCTTGTTCACTTTTCTAACGCTAACGATACATATTTTCATAGCTATGGAAGAACCCCGTTACTGGAAACCTTCATTTCCAGGTGCATCCTTGTGGTGTGATGGAACTACTTGTAGATCCACTACCTGAAGGTGCAAACAAAGAGGGTGCGCTTTATCCTGAAGGAACTCATATCACGAACCTCGGAGAAGTCAGAGATATCCTTTACAAGATGCAACGACCTGCCATTGCGCCTCCAGTGTGTATCTCATTCTTGCTCATACATGATGACGCTAATGTGTGGCTTATAGCTTGTTTACCCCCACGATTGGCACGAGCGTGATCTTGTTTTATTCCATAACCGAGGGGTTCTTCATACGGTTGTTGGAGCTTTCAAACCTGACCAAGTTCGTGCATTCCACCAGTGTAATTTGGCTGCTTCGGATGAACCTGTTGGTCCTTCTCCCGAAGATGTCAAGAAGTGGGCATAGATTTGATCATAGATCCCATTGTGCGCGATGTTACCCCCTCATTTTTCCATGTATACTATGTGTATGAATTGTCAATGTATGTTAGCATATGCAGCAAAACATGTGGTGAGAGGTCGGATGACTTGGGTGCGGGTCCAGGACCCACACAGTTTTTCGTCCTCGCCACTCCAATTCAACGATGATTCTGACAAACAAAGGGAAACATGCATCGCCGGGATAGCTCAGCTGGGAGAGCAGTAGACTGAAGTACGGTGTTACTGTGTTCTAAAGGTCCTGTGTTCAATCCACGGTCCTGGCATTTCTTTTTCATATACATAGGAGCTCACATGTTGTCACGGAGACTCGTCGTGATTGATTCGGGTCACTATTTTGGTAGAATCCTCAGGCTAGGGTCTTCTATAATTGACACCGCCAGCAACACTCGCTATAAGGGACACGTCTCCACCCTTCATCCAACTATCATTTTCTTGCTTGTCTTTCGTTTTCTTCTTCTACTTACAAACCATCTCAATTGCTCTATGGCCGATGCTGGCACCGTCCGTAATAGACGGAAAGTTCCTTCACCACAAGCTAATCTAGAAAACAAGATCAAGGCGAAATACGCCGTCGTGAGTCTTAACACCGCTTTTCGAATACCACATACCCCTAGCTTCGAGCTCTTCTTCGTTGAACGCTGTATTACAGCGTGCTTATCGCGTGGCTGAGAACTTGATTAATCTGTTAATGTGGGTTTCGGCCTTTTACTTATAATTACCTCTGTCCTTGTTTAGCAACATCGAAAGAATAACGGCCCATTCACCCCGAGGTCTCTGTTTTGGATTTTCCTTATCACTCTAACGTATACTGTGATTACTGTGAGTCAAGCATGCACTTGGAAAAAGCAATGGTTTACTAACGGCGTTTTTTTGGTGTTGGTTTTGTTTCAAGGACCCACAATTCTTCATCGAATCGTTTCGGAGAGTATTGAGAGGACCTAAACAATGGATATCTGTCCCTGGAACGACGACGCATAATGATTCTCAAGTTGTGCTCGGAGCTGATATCGCGAAAAGAGATGCAGTTGTGGAGGCTTTTAAGGTAAAGTCCTATCCTTGAATCGCGTGTTGTGAGTGACTGACCAAGGTTTTGGGGTCGAAAGCATGCTTGGTTAGCTTATGGTGCGTCTGTGATCATTCATGAATGTTTTCAGCATTAACGAATGGTGATTTATCGCAGAAAGAGACGCAATGGGAGCTGACGAATATCATCCTATAAGTCGCGAAGGAACAAATCTAACAGAAGCGGGAGGGATTGGATACACAGTTGTGGATTCTATCGATACCATGCTTATTATGGGACTGGAGGACGAGTACAAGAGGGCCAGGAGTTGGATTGAGAACAGCTTGACATTCGAAAGAGATGGAAATTTCAATACTTTCGAGGTATGCTATTTGTTCTATCCTTCGCTTCACTAACTCAGGGAACTAATGTTATCAGACAACGATTCGAGTCCTTGGAGGTCTCCTTTCAGCATATCACCTGTCCGATGACTCGCTATTTCTCGACAAAGCTAAAGACTTAGCAGATCGTATGCTTCCAGCATTCGACACTCCTTCCGGATTACCATATCCTATGATCAATTTAGCGAAGAGAGTCGGAGTCTTCAACGAAGATAGTAGGAAATTTGTTAGTACGGCCGAAGCTACAACCCTCCAATTGGAATTCCGAGATTTGAGTCACCTCTTAGATGAGGATATTTACTGGGAGAAAGTTGAGAAGGTGAGGATATTTCCTTTTTTAACGTGAGAAATATTCTCATCGGTGGATTTTGCTGATGATTTTAGGTTATGGAAGTTGTCAAAGCTGCTCGTCTGCATACTGGGTTGGCTTCCATTTTTTTGAAGTGAGCAGCTCCTTGTAACTGATTATATGCGAATATTCTGACATCTTGCTCATGTGATTCATAGCCCCGAAGATGGTCATTTCGTACTGTCTGCCATCCGACTAGGATCCAGAGGGGATTCGTACTATGAGTACTTACTGTAAGTACAGTTTGATATCTCCCACCGCCAATCCGTACTGATTGGTCTTCTTCAGGAAACAATATATTCAAACTGTAAGATTGGAATAACTTCATCCGTTTTGTGTTATCGAAACATATATGTTTACTTCGCTTGCTAGAATCTTACAGAACCTGTATATCGCAAAGTAAGTTTCGTCCCCTCTTGTCAAGACGTAGCATTGCTCATTTTTCCCATCAGATGTACGATGATGCTATGGAGGGAGTAGCATCACACCTCATCCAACGAAGTCAAAAAGCAGGTCTTACCTACACTTCTGAATTGATTCCCGAACGGAACCCTCAAGGTGAAATGTAAGTATTTTTGGGCTTTTCCTCATTTCTGCGCCTGATATCTCTTTACTGTTCCGTCTTTTCATGCAGCTCTTGGCGTCTGGTACCCAAACAAGATCACCTTGTTTGTTTCTTCGGTGGTTCGCTGATGCTCGGAGCTGTTCACACTGGATCGCTGGTCCATCCGGTGTCTATACCACCCAGAGCTTCTGAATTAACTGATCAGGGGAGGAGAGATTGGATCAATGGGTATGAATTGATTGAGACATGCATGAAAACTCACGATACTCGAACGTACGTTCCTGTGTTTTATTCTCATTTGTTTCGTGTGTGGCTAACAAGATCTTGTCGTTCGCCCTTGTATCTCACAGTGGCTTATCGCCAGAGATTGTTCATTTCAGAATCCCTTCCGATGGAATTGATGGCTCTGCTGCCCCAGATGATTGGTATATTAAAGGTGCAAAGTGGGTCATGATATGTTTTCTCTTGAGAGACGAATAAAATACGATCTCATAAACTGTGTGTAGAGCTGGAGAGCGACCTCCATACGACGCTCGGTACATTCTGAGGTGAGCAACTTTTAGACCTTAGTATCCTCGATTGCACCTAATAACCTATTCCCGTTCTAAGGCCAGAGACAATTGAATCTCTGTTCATTGCCTACAGATTAACTGGCAATCAGCGATTCCGGGATTACGGATGGAATATCTTCCAAGCTATTGAAAAGCATTGCAAGATTCCTACTGGAGGCTATGCAAGTATTCTGAGTGTCGACCACGTACCGGTCGAAAACGAAGATAAAATGGAAACTTTCTTGATGGTGAGATTTTAGTTCAAGCTCATATGTTCGATATTTTATGAACATCTTCTGATTCGGTAACACAGAGTGAAACATTGAAGTATCTGTATCTCCTCTTTGAGGATGCAAGTGTACTGCCATTATCAAGTGAGTCTATGTCTCCAATTGGTTCTTTTCTTCCTCTAATCATGATGTCTGTCCTCACAGAATGGGTCTTCAACACCGAAGTAATATTTCCCCTGCTCTCTCTCATTTCTTCATCTTATCTAACTGTTTTTTCGCAGGCTCACCCACTCCCTATATTCAAACCATCTATTCGGACCGGATTTTCGTGACGTCTATATTCATCTATTTCTTCTTGTTTATTGCTTTCGGATCTTTTGTTCTGATATATCTCCAAGCTTTCTTTATCTGCTGTGTATTTTATGCATTTATTCGCTCCATTGCTGGTCTGCTACTACACTCTCACCGTCGATTTATACCAGGAATCATTCTCAGGAATCTAATATGCTTTTGAACACATAACAATCAGTTGTATTATTGCAAGGTATTCATCCAGGATGGAGGTGCGTGCTACTATGTCAAAGGAGATTGTAATATGTGTGTCTATAGTGCCCATCAAGTCAACCCTCGAAGAGAAAAAAAAGGTACAGTCTGAAGGAAATCCGACGGCCTCATTGCTTCACTATTTGCGCGTAAGACTGTCTTGTATCCTTCCAGTCCCCGTCGACGTTATCCAAACATTCCCAATCATCTTCTGTGTCCACCACAAACTTGTCGTCGATGTCCTCTTCCAAAACGACCACTCTTTGGACTGTAGGAAGCATCTCGAAATCTCCCGCTAAGTCGGAAAGTCAGTGGCATGACATTTCCTAACCAAATATGCACTCACCCTTTGATTTCTTAGTTCTCGCAGGCGTCGCAAATTTCATAATATCGACCTCATTAATGTGTGTCTCTGTGGGTATCACCAGATCTTCCCCTTCGTCAAATCCCTCCCATGGATCTTCTTCGTCGCTATCGCTGTCTGCCAGGTCGGCTACAGCTTCTTCCCGCGTTTCTTGCGCCAATGACTGTCTCGCGACAACGCTACTAATCTTTCCTTTCAAGAACTTTGTCTTCTGGTCTCCTGGCAAAGTCTCTGATGGCGTGGATTTTCTACCCCCGGGTTGTGGCTTCGTGTGTGAATTCTTTTGTCTCATTATACTGGACTGTAAAGCCTTCATGGTTGCTACTTTGTCGTGCTCTGTGGTCCGGGTAGATTTCTTCATTTTCGTGAAGGTGTAGAGAGTTTAGAGGATGTTGTGCTGCTCAGAGAGGTACGCAGTTTTATGTTTTGGGAATGGAAAGCATCTCATTATTTGTATGATTTCAGCAGCTCGACGCTACGTGACACAGCCTTTGAAGAGTCAAGCTGCTCGATGGGGCTATACACGCGGGATGAATCAGGGTCTTCTCCTTCACACCGCAACGCTCCTGTAGATTTGCACCGCCGATTTGCTGCGAGTGTGGCATAGCTGCTAAAACGCTCGGTGTTTAGTTTTGAATCCCTAGATTGAAACTGTTCACCGAGTAGCCCTCAAAATTCAAAATCAAGCTAATCTAAAATGTATTCGCAGACAAGCTCGCGATACATTCTCTAGGAACGGGTCTATTTCATGAGCCAAATCTTCTCCTTCCCTTTCATCTCTTCAGAACCTGGGCATATGATCTCTTTGGTGCTTTCCATCTGTCACCATCATCAACATACTCCCATGACTCATCTGCCTGCTGTTCTTGCTCTTCATCCAAAGCAACTACCCGACGAACAGTTGGCAAAATCACAAAATCACCCACTGTTGAATGCATACGTATGTTAGTCAATGAGCAGTCGATCTTAGCGTCGTTGCAAAGCGTACCTTTCGACCTCTTCGGCTTCGCGGGCTTTGCAAGCATCATGATATCGAACTCAATAATTGGTCGGTCTCCCGATTCAGAATCACAAATCCCACCCACTCCCCAGCCTTCCCAATCATCATCCTCGTCGATTATAACCTCGTCATCATCGTCTGCGATGGGTCTAGTCATCTGAACTACCCAATACTTTCCGGATCCATTCCATCTCTTAGCTCCTCCGTTCCTCCTGTCCGGGATGGACCTCCCTTGCGGTCGTAGTAATCTTGGGGAT